ATCTTCATATCAAAGTATGTTTGGCACTTGGATAAAAACATAGTTAGGCAGAAATGTCCTTGTTTTATCACAGCCCATATCCCATATAACTACCAGCATACAGGCCTTGTTAAATAAGGATCTAATCCTAACTAAGACAGGGGAATGGAAGCAGTTGGGAAAACTCAGTAGTTTAACAGTTCAAATCCCAGGGGGCAGCTTCCCTCGCCTTCTCACATTTACCATCCACTGTGCCTTCATTACATGTTTTTGATGGGTGGGTGCACGAGTGTGCATACACATTAACACGTGTCAGCTCTCCCCTGTTTGCGCATTAGCTAGCTTTTGCATGTGCACCCCGAGTGCGTATGTGTGTTCCTGACTGCGGGTGCATTTTATGATGTGTACTTTTTTTCTCTTCTTAGTCCAGGAGTCCCCGTCAGGACCCCTAGGCTTCCCTGTGCCTGCCTGCCAAAAACGTCTGCATCTCCTGGACCCCCTCGAGGCAGGGGACAGCCAAATGTCACTTGGACCCTCTACAGAGTGGTGAGACGAGGACAGGAAGAGGCCAGTGGGTAGAGGGGGGAGGGAGGGAGGAAGAGGAAGGAGGAGAGGGGGAAGAACTCACTCAGGGGGAGACGGAAGTTTAGGAGGAGATACCAGGATATGCGGCATGACCAAAGTGTCTCAGATGAAAATTGGGTGGAATTAGTGAGATCCTGATTGACTTATATAATAAATAAATGTAATATTAAATATTAGAGACTCTTGGAGCAACATTTTACAGTCAGCACCTCCTACATAAGGCTGCAGTCTTTTAGATCCAAAATTCTCTTTCCAAGACCTTCCTCTTACATCTTTAGTCCAGTATATGAGGATTCTAGTTATGTGAACAAAAATGAACACCTCTTTATTACTAATATACATCACAAAGCTGGTTTTAGACCATTTAGATGTTCAGAGTTTCTTTTGATAAGTTCTTAATAAAATCAATTATCTTTTACTGAGCTGCTGATCGGTCCTTGAACTGATTTCTCACCTAGAGCTTTTTCCAGTGATTGTTTTTTTAATTGTTACACACTAATGCAACTGAAGGGCCTGTTGCTATCACAGATACATCCGTATCCATGTATATGTTGTCCAATATGCACAAATATAATACACATAAGCAATCACTCAAAATTAACAATTTTCTCAAACTCGAACATACTGTTTAAACTGCCTGTGCATCTTTGTGAAAAATCGATTCTGTCTCAACTTTAGCACATTTGGTTTCAAAATCATTTCTTAAAACTCATATTTTGGTAGTTAACCCTCATGTGTCAGGTGTTTGAGCTTGCTTTTACATCCTTACTGACCAAGATCAATCAACATGTTTCTGAAATCATCGCTTACTCAGTAAAAAATGTATTTATCATTATTATTATTATTATTATTTGTATTATTCGATGTAGCAGGAGAGTACAATAAAAAAAATAGGGCATGAGGTTACTACCAGCATTAATGCTTGACCTCATACGTACAGAAGAGGATTACAGCCACTGAAAAACAAACAATAAATACATATATAGTATTTAGGTCATCCTTTGATTGAGAATTCTGAGGGGAAAAATTAATTCTGAACCCTTTTCCCCCCAATTTCCACTTTAATAATATATTTTCTCCAAACTAGAAAGAAAGTCTAAATTCTAAGATTAGTCTTTTTTTCCCTGAAATATTTCTTTAATCTTTAATCTCAGAATTACAATTGTTTTTTCTCAGAACTATTAAAAAAACTTAGAATCCAGAGAATAAAGTCAGAATTCCCTGAATAAAGTGTTATTCAGAATTCTGACTTTTAAAAAGATCAGAACTATGTAAAAAAAAGAGAAAAAAAGCCAGAATTCTGAGATTAGAGTCAGAATAATGGGCTGGGGGGGGATCATGAGCCATATTATTTTCAGCGGCTCTAATCGTCTTCCATACATACATCGCAGACATGTTGAGAACAATTTAAAGCCACTTTTTTGCCTGATTAGTCCCTGTTTTGATCCTTTTTAGTGTGTAAGTGATTACAAGTGATGGGATACTCAGCATCACATCCACGGTGCTTTAATATTTCTACTGAAGAAAAATTACTTTTTAAGAAATTCTCATTTCTTATCTCTTCCTCGTTCCTCTCAGACAATCCCAGACTGCATGTGTTGTTTATGTGACTGTGTGCGCGTTGATCCCTGTCCTTGTATGGAAGACAAATAGAAGACAAGGACGAGATGTCCAGCTCCCTCACACACAGAACATTTATTCATACACTAGACCAAGAACAATATAAATTTCATCTTTTTTTAATAAAAAACACTCAAGTGTGTCCGTATTAATGGAGAAATTTGGTTTTTTTTAAAAACGCCTTATTTTGGGTTACAGCTGCAGGAATGAAAACACACACACAAAGTGTCTTGCTTACAAGTCTCATGTGTGTCCTGTCACATTGGGGGACATGCAGTATCGAACACGGATGTACGCGGAGCATGAATACAAACAACAGAACGTCCTTCATGCTTTTATTCCTGATTGATATAACATCAGTGTATATTCTGCATTGATTATGGGTCAGGTCCTCGGAGGGAAAAAAGAGACAGACTTTTTATTTTAGTGAAGTAATAACTTCATAAAACACGGATAACTGAAATGAGGTTGTGTAGCTCTTCTTATTAAACGCAGTCACATATCAGCTTAACTGAAATCTGTTGCAATCCCAGACTGTAGCCTTTAATAGGGACAGTCTGTCTGACAGAATTCCCGAATAACGCCACATTGGGGAAAAAAGACCTGCTAACTTAGAATTAGGAATAAGAGCGAGCGTGTAATTAAACGAGTTGTCATTCATTTACAATCCAATGCATATTCAAGCAGGCGTGCACACGAGAAAAGAATGAACTGGCTGTAACTAGTAGCTAGCTCTCCAAACAGCACCTACACTGCAATTACTGATGAGAGATAGGTGCATGCGTGTGTGCATATATGTGTGTGTGTGTGGATCTGCTAACTTAATGGCTGCGTGGACGCGACAGTCTAAATGTTTTCATCTGTAACGTTTTATCCTGGTTCAACTCACTCTGCCACTGTCACGCAGTAAACACACACTCGAGCAGCGAGGATGGAGGGAATGGGAAGAGGGAGAGAGAGAAAATTACCCACCAGCTCATGTTCATTTTCCACGCCAGGTAGTTTTCCAGAATTCTGAGAATTTCGTTTCACTTTTTTTGATTATCGATTGCTGTGAATAAACAATTATGAGGAAAGCTGATGTTGGAACTGGAACTAATGGAGAGGAGCTGGAAGGATTGAGCAGACTTAAAACAGCGCACTGGGCCTTTCCATGGTGCAATTGAGCTACAGTTTTAAATATAATAAATCTAGTTAATGTGCGTGAATGGAATATTAGCGTCAGCGAGGTTGATCTACAGCATGTGTTTGCATCAACGCATCTACGGTGCGTCATTTCCTGAGCTTTAAATCAAGAGGCTCAAGATCAGAAAAACATCTGCGGGTTGCCTGATGTGTCACACAGAATTCAGCCCCAGCCGTTTAACAGGGGGCGGGGGTGAAAAACACAGCTTTTAAGAGTATATAACAGTCTGGTATTTCAAATATCCTCATTGGGTCATACTTTTAACTTGACCCCTTTGGCAGGAAGTTAGTGTTTTTAGATGCAAACTGAAATTCATTGTCTAATTCACGTTAAGCATTTATCTGTTGTTGTTTTTTTCCCCTCTTCCTGAATTACCTTTTTTCCCTCTCTCTCTCTCTCTCTCTCTCTACTGAGTAACACAAAGGCCAACTCGTCAATACAAGTGAGGGACAGCAATGCAATCGCAAATGCCGAAAATCAGAAGAATTTGTTGGGTTTTTTCTTCATTATGTGCCAGTAAAAGTGAATAAAATCAGCTATTAATGAAGCTATTCAAGACTAGGACTGGAATAGCATTGCATACACACCCCTAAACACACACACACTCCGATGCTCACTGAGTGCAAAATATTTGGCGTTGCCAATAAAAAGTTGAATAGTCTGTCTGGAATTCAGTTAAGCGGTGTTTTTTTATTTCGTTTATATTTATGAAAATATGCACAATTAAAGTGTACAAAGAGACTCTTTTCATTATGTTTATCAGCAAAGAATTCCTAATTAAGAAAAGGGGAGAGGCAGGGCATCATTATTAGGTGTTCACCTATCGCTCTCTTGTGGTTGCTTCACGCAACTACACCGGAGTCAAAGTAGAGGAGATGTTGCTTGGTGATGTTCCTCTGTTAGCTCCAGAGTTACTATAAAAACAGACAACTTTTTAAAAGCAGTTGACTCGCAGTCTTGTAGACATCTTGTCTTCTCGATAATCATGTCCATCAATGCCTCATCAAGGAAGCTGTAATAATTTTTTTTTTTAACCAAACTAACAGATACTAAAATGAACTATATTTCCTCTCTCTCTCTCTCTCTCTCTCTATATATATATATATATATTTTTTTTTTTTTTACTTTATTTTAGTTAGCTTTCCAACCTCACCAAATCAGTTCAATTATTTTTTCCTTTTTTGTAGTCTAGTTTAGTTTTAAGGTACCTATAATACCCATAGTTAGCTCACTCAAACGAAATTAATACCGAGTCTGCAGAGTTATACTTAAAATGTGCTTAATATAAAAAATAACAAGAAAGAAAGAAGAAATTCCTCTTTCTGAATGCATAAAAACAAGCATTCACATATAAAACTTCACAAATAACAACTAAAATAAATGTTCTAAATTAATAAAGTACATTTAAAATGAAATTAATTTTAAGAATGATATTAAATGTCTTGTAAATATTCAAGGAACAAATAGTACTAAAATCGGTGAGAAAAAAAATCATTTTATTCGAAAATAAATATATTTGTGCTTTTATAAAGCTTCACTCGTATTTGATTGGCACCACGCTGTTGTGTAACACGATTTAGCACGTTTTACTTAGTAATTTGACTGTGGATTGTGGCCGTGAACGCAACGGAGCAGATTGGGGCCAAACCATATCTACTCCGTTGCGTCCTACCAAAACAGGAAGTTTTCAAGAGTTTGGACCTGCAAGCTAGCCACCTAGCCTGCGGGGTACATTCGGAAATTACTATGACTTTTCAAATGTTTTAATCTAGTGGACAACCTGTCACGAACAGAAGTAACGTATACCTTTTTCAGCTGCTACTGGGAGTAAATATATATATCGGCTTATGTTTGTGCTGTGTGACTTAAACGCCGTGTCAGAAGTTTGAAGGTTAGCCGAGTAGCTAGCTCCTGAGCTAGCGTTAGCTTAGTCACGAAAGCCATCGGTTTGTACGGAGCCTGCCTGCCTGCCCTGTCAGGCTGATTCTGTACGGTTAGCCACAGGGCTGGGCTTTGATTTACAGTCCAACCTGTCAGCTTTTCGTCTTTTACCTATCCAGTCCGGGCAGCTCACCAAGTGGCACCGTAACATGAAGTTATGGAGGAGCGGAAGCTAAAAAGAAAGAGTCCCAGGACTTCCACCAGCGCGGCGCCTCCGTCCGGTGGCTCTGGCCGGAAGAATAGCGCTTCCACTGGAGGACGGCACCTTGGCTACACGGGGACTCACTCCAGCCAAAAGAACAAGAGCAGGAGGTAGTAACAGTGTAGTTACAATGATTTAACATCTCAATATTTTTCAGTTTTACCCAGCATTAACCGAACTGGGGTTGTTGACTTGTATTCACTCTGCCTGTATTTGCTTCTGCCTGTTTTAGGGGAGTGAAGGATAAACCCAGGTATCAGCAGGGTTTGGGTGGTAAAGCTAGTCAAAACCAGGGCCAGGCAACACCGATCGTCCAGCACTCTTTTCTCACAGATGTTTCAGATGTACAGGAGATGGAGAATGGCTTGCTCAGTCTCCTCAACGACTTCCACTCAGGGAAACTACAGGCATTTGGTAATTCCCACTAAAAACAGGAACGTTTTACCAGAGCACACACTGACTTTCATATATCCAGTAATAGAAATTATCCTATACACTTAGAGAGATATATGATAGATACGGATAACTGAGGACTGTTTTTGTCTTAGGCAATGAGTGCTCTATTGACCAAATGGAACATGTGAGAGAGATGCAGGAGAAGCTGGCACGCTTGCACTTTGACCTCTATGGTGAGGTGGATGAAATGCCCGAGGATCAGAGGAAAACAGCCTGCGACACCAACATGGACAAGTTGCTCCTTAATGTAAGGCCACTGTGACATAACTCATAAAATATTCTTTTCATAGCCCGTGGCATGCTGCCTGACAGTTTAACAGTGTTGCCAAATAATCCGTTCACTGATGTCATGTAACTACTCAGTATCCCTGCAAGGATTTAGCTGCTTATCCTCCGGCAAGTGTTAAACTCTTAAAGAGTTTAGTCAGCTGGCTTCATGCTGAAAAGGATAAAGTCTGGAATCTCATTCTGCAATCTTTTTTTTTTTTGCATTTGTAGTGAAGTAAAACATGTTATTTTTTTCTCCACAGCTGGAGGAGCTGAGTTCTTCCATGTATCCTTTTGTCTTCGCCCTTAATAAGTTTGAAATAAGCTCACGTTTAACAGCTGCTGTAACTTTTGTATTTCTTGACATCGCTTCTCCAGTCAGAAACTGAATCTAGCCGACACACAAGAGATCCCGAGGACTGCGAGCGTGTGACTTCCGTCGCCCCAACATTTCTCAATCAAATTTGAGCCGACTATTTCATTTATAGTACCTATGGGGGTCTATAAGTATGGGGGGTTGAAACTGCCATAATCAATAAATGCAAAATAGCTATATATGTATATATATATGCAATTAAATGAACCAAAATATAGTAAAATAAATAAATAAATAAATAAATAACAGTAATAATAAATTGACCATATATGGCACATTTGCTTTAAGTTGCTTTTGTACTTATTTACCTTTATATTAATTTTAACTTGCTGACTTACACATTTGAAAGTTTTTACTTACTCATTTCCTCAAACATTTCTTTATGCATTTTTCTGTCACATATTGTGGCTGCCTTTAGCTAAAAGTCTGCACAACGAAATTTGCATAAACAAATGGGGAAAAAAACAAAAAAAAGTAAGTCTGGGGCTAAAAAAAAAATTGAATATGCATATATATACATAAATTATCAAGCATCCAGACTTCTTTACTAAGTAAATGCAGAAGCAATTTAAAACAAATATCTAATTTAACATTTAATAAATAAATAAAATTTCAGCAATGAAAGTAGTTTCTATATTTTTTCAATCTTTTTTGTACATTTAATGGCATATAATTCTTTTTTTAAACAAATCATTAATTTATTTTTGATTTAGGTAGTTTCTATCCTTCATATATAAGGTGTCAGCAGTGTTGATTGTATGTATTGCAATGGAAATGGCAACAAAGCGTTCCCTGTTTGTACAGGGGGAGGGATGTATTGTAAGATAATCTAATAGGGATGCACCACA